CCCCTTAGTGGCGCTTAAATGGCGGTCAATTTTCTACAGTTCCCCGTTATTTCTACAAAGAGTCAAACATGTATCATTTCTCTTGCATCTAAGGTGCATTATGGCGTGAGTGGATTTGTCAAGAACATACAAGGAGAGCCTCTCTCTGATGCAACCATTAGCGTTGCAGATCGTCGTCATGACGTCACTTCATCAAAGGATGGAGACTTTTGGCGCTTACTCGTACCAGGTTCATACGAAATCACAGCCACGGCACAAGGTTACCAGCCACAAACCCAGCTTGTGGAGCTTCGGGCGTTTGAAGGGAAAGTTGTAAATTTTACTCTAAAGCCGACTCAAGAAGACGGGATGAAGATATCACTTGAAGGAAGCGAAGACGAATTATTAGACCGAGTCATGGTGAGTCTAAGATGCACAGCATTATTTTTTTTACTGATTTACAGAGTAATTTATCTCGGAGCTGTGTTGGGATGTGTACTTGTCCTGTGGAGACGAACGAAAAAAACCAGCGAACGTTTTCAAGAGCAAATAAGGAAAAATGAGGGACGATAAGGGCGCTCATTTCACTCATATTCAGTTCAAGATGGAAACGTAATTCTGTTTACTCAATCCTTCAGTCTGTGATCCTTCAATTTTTTTGACACGTCTTTTTATGTCATTTTTAAACAGGCAGGAACCTTTGTCACGGACGAAGGAGTGGATCCGAGGGAGCATATCATCAAGCTGACCAATCAGAATGACAGAGAGGAACAGCCGTTTCATAAACACGTATTACATCCAGGGCTTAACGACAGGTGTGTCATGTAAGGCGTTATGAAATGAAATCATAAAGTTGGTCGGACTTCGCTGTAGTAGTCGCCCTTTCTCAGTCACCTCAGGCACGTCGACGCACATTTATCGAGATCTTACTGTGACAGCTCATCAGCTTGCAAAATGAGCTTTTTTTAACGTAGGCTTGGTTCATAGACTAAGACTAATATTTGGGTTGAGTTAATGTTCTTCTCAAAGTGAGGACCCGGCTCCTCTTGTCGAAGAATTGATATAAGTACCCAATGCCTTCTTTAAAATAAGAGATACTGGCTCTCAAGTCTTTCCTTGAAACTCCTTTCAACATTGATTTGCCATGCCTTGAAGTTTTAGGTTTGACTCCTGTATATCAGCAACATCTCACAGAGAGTTTGATGGCAAAACCCACTTTGATTATTACAACCGAGAGAGCATATTCTCTTGTCGTCACTAGTATCACGAACACAGCAAATAACCGTGTTGATTTTTTTTCCTTTTTTCATATTTATAGATCAAGGTTGTCTCTTGAGAATGCGCTTCTTAGCTATGAAACTGCTCGTGGAAGTGGATCTGTTGAAGAAAGCAAACCCGACGATATCTCTGGTGAAGGAGGAGGGAGTGGTGACGTAAAATCCAAGCAGGAACCAGACAGACGGGTGTCTCATCCAAAACTGGTTAAACCAGACAAACCTGTCACTATCTCAAGACCGGTAAAGCCGGCTAAGCGTGTCACTATTCAGAAACCGGCTAAAACCATCAGCAACAAGACAGCCCCCAAAGTTATTACAAAGCCCCAAGCTCCTAAACCGAAAATCAATGTGATACAAAAGAAACCAGCGCTTGCAGCAGGGAAGAAAACTATACCCTCTAAATCACCTGCCACAGACAAGCGCTTCTTGAAGTTGATTGGCTCAAACGTGGCGTGTCGTCTGGTTGGAAAGAAGGGATTAAAGAATGGAAACTTGAGGTGGGTGGGGCACTTACCCCACTTGCCATTAGACGACTCCCATCTCATCGCTGGTGTGGAATTATCCACCGATGATAAACTGGGAACTGACGGCACATATCGTGGTGTAAAATACTTTACAAGTGCTCCGAAACGAGGTTACTTCTTCCGACTGAGGGACTGTAAGGCTTTAAAACATTGAAAATTTATTTCCCCTGAACTGATTCGAAATTATCCGTCATAAGCTGCACTGCATTCATTGTATGCTAGTTTCGAGAATCTGGTGTTATATGAGGATGACGTATAACAACCATTCTGCTCCTCAGAGAGCATCACTAAAAACCGCTTTGGCTCTCCCTTACAATATTATTTTCATCATAGTGCGATATCATTATCATTTGTTAAATTATCATTATTATTATTAGCTGATGCCTTTTTGTATTGTCATCAACTTTTTTTCTGTACAAAGTTTTGATATTAATCGAAACAAGAAGTTATAAAACAAAAAATATATAGCCACTTAAGAGGAGAGTGAAATGCAACCTTTTCAGTCACACTAGAAATATTGGTGTTAGACCTTCATCAGTGTTTTTCCTGATGGACAGTTCGGATTAGCGTCAAGACGTTCTTTGTAGCTTCTCTTGACCTTGCTAGTTTTATCTTCACAGTTTCCTGATCAGTGACTGAGAATTTTTTTGATAAGACGTAAGTTTTTTTGTACATATAAAGCATAAGTTGTTGCAGAATCATCGTCAAACAGTAAAAAAACTAAGAGGTAATGTATTATCAGCGAGAATAACCTGAGAAAAGACAATCGGATTCGTAACATTTAAACTTATCTATTACCTGGTCCAATTCGACGAGCGGCCAAAACGGCGAGAGTTGTGTGGGGGTCTGGCACTATAAAAATGCCAGAACCCTCGCGGACCTCTCGCGCGCTCGCATTGAAACTTCTCTCGTGATTGTTATGTTTACCACGTTTTACCGTTGACTACTTTGTTTTACTGTGGCAAGTCTTGCCTGCAATGACAAAAAATAATGCTGTTGGCCATATTTTCTTAAGTCGCCTAGCAACTACTAGAAATCAGCAGCAAAGCATTAGATTTCAACTACTAAAATATTTCCTCAAAGGAGTCCACGAACAATTTCCGCCAACGAGAGGGATTTTGCAGTCGCCATCTGATATGGCTTTCATTAATGGAACAGGAAACGTGTTCCAACTTGTCTCCTGCAAAACAATATGGTGGTTATCCTTTTCATGATCTCAGAAGCTTTCCTCCTTGAAATGATACAAGGATGCAACTCTACGTGATTTTCCTCCCTTCCAGGGCATTCAGCTTCATGCGAATACCTTGAGCGTCTCCCGCTATATTCTTCCTCTAATCGACTTATTCGCTTCTCCTCAAATTAATGAAACGAATTATGATTTCGTTCGTGAAGACAACATTTGTTTTTAAATTGATGGTGACCGTCAAGGTAACGAAGACTGTAAACGAAGAACTTTCAAGACCATAATCCATCATCGGCTTTATGAAAGCCAAGTTGTCAAGTTGGATTTTGCCCTGTTTGACTACGAAACCTGAGACTGCTTTAAACCATTCGGTTCATTTTGCTTGACCTTCTAATTTATTGTCATATAGGTTCCTTGCTAGGCAGCAGGAAAATAGCGAGTCTATCTAAAATTCAATCTTGAAATTCCCCAGTAACAGTTGTGGAGTTTCTTAGACACTGGAACAAAATGGCCTCTATCGTAATTTCCGTGTTTGAAAGTGCAGTTGGTTTGCTTGGGGGTAACATAAAAGGAAAAGCTGCGGAGATGCTTAGAGATGGAGATGTAACCGATGAAGAATGTCGGGATTTGGTCATGACGGAAATCAATGATATCAAATCAATGTTGAAAGGAGTTTCAAGGAAAGACTTGAGAGCCAGTATCTCTTATTTTAAAGAAGGCATTGGGTACTTATATCAATTCTTCGACAAGGCAAGGATCCATCGCGAGTACAACGCAGAAATAGCACATGCTGCTAGCAATGAAGCCCTTTTGCTCACAGAAGAAATGACAAAATTGGATCTTAAGGGCTTAGATGACTCTACTAACCAAGATCTTTCAAGTGCAAGAGAGCGATTCAAACTTGCTCGCGAAAAAGCCACAGAGGCTTTCGCTAATGAAGCACTAAACATATCCGACCGCCTTCTTGCAACACGATACCGAATTATGGCAACCATACTTGAGACAGTGGACAATCCCAAAAGAGCATTAGTACCCTGCAAAGTATGCATTGAAGAATTAAATTGCCTTCCAGCGGTTCAGAATAATTTTGGTGTTCAGGTTACAAGAGGCATCAAGTCTGTCAAGGGTTGGTTTAGAAAAAAGGAACGAGGGAAACTAATTTCCAGTGTATGTTCCATGAATCGGGTCCTCTACGATGTCTCACGAATAGTGCTCGGTAGATGTCCTTTAGAGAAGGCATGGCCCACTGTTGATACCGGAGGGAGCGCAGTTGATCCATTGCGTGACGAAAGAATAACTAATGCGCTACGAAATCAGGGCATTGAGGATTTTTGCGTGAAATGGTCCTTTGGTAAGGACGAACTGGAATGGGTGTCAGGCATCGCTACAAACTCCAGTGGACAATTTATTTTGACAGAACACGCTAGTGCCATTATCAAGGTGTTTGACAGCGACGGCAAGTTGGAAAAACGTATCAGTCTACCGGACAAGGCGATTCCTTTGGATGTAGCCACTGACTTCAACGACGATATCTATGTGCTGGCTGTCATCTTGTCTTCAGATGAGGTAAACTCGAATACCAGCCGCTGTTCAGGAAATGAGCCCAAACTCCCCCCCTCGAGAGGATCGGAGACCGAATCTGAGAAATGTGTGGAAATCGAGGCTATCGACGAGGGAACCCTATGGGTTTACAAGTACACTGAAACTGACGTCTATCAACAACCTGTGGGCAAAGGAGGCTGGGATAGCAAGCTATCGGTCGATGAGCGTGGTAATATGATTGTTTTGAGGATCGGGGATGGGATGTCTATGGAACGTGCGTTGGAAAAATATGACATTAAGTGGCGGCTTGTTCGCAGGCTTAGAGAGGAAACTGCAATTAAAAACTTGAAGGATATCACTTCTGTTAATGACGGTCAAGTCATGGCATTGGATAAGGCGGATCGCCTTATTCACATCTTCGGTGAAAACGGGGAACATCTTCGGAAGTTTAAGCTGCAAACAATCTATGAACCCGACATCATAACTTTTCATCGGAAAAGTGGACATGTCGTTGTAGCTGGTGTTAGAGAAGAGAACGAGTGTCTGGTTGTGGAAATATACACCAAAACCGGCAAGTTTATACAAAGCTTCCAAATCTACGAGAAAGGAATACGAAGGATATCGGCCATGACAGTCACAAATGAGGGACAAATCGCTGCGGTTACCAAATACTCCACCAAAGTACTTGTTATGTGACATTCCGTTTTGCCCGTTCATCGATGAATTATGAGGCGTTCTTTCAATGATAGAATGCCCTAACCTTTCGCAAGCTGCTAACTTACTTTGGAATGCACAAAAGTAAACTTATATCGGGCGAATTGAAAGTCTATTTCTACAGTTCCCTTACATCCTGTTGGCGACATCCAATCCCTCTCCATGCCCTCTGAAAACCAAGATTCTCCACCTCATCCTACGGCGAAACTGTAATCAGTGATTTCTGGTCCCTCAGACAAACCTTTCGTGTTTAGTCGTTCGATTATTTCCTTCTTACCGGGAGATAATCACTTCGAAAGTTTTGGATAAGTCGGCGTTGCCAAGTAGGTGTGCCAACCGTTAAATTGTTCAACAATGGCAAAAAAAAAACAACAACAAAAAAAAACCAGAAAAAACAGCAATTTTACTTTTCCTAAGCGAATGTCGTTAAAGAAGCGGAGCAAATCTTAACCCTTTATACCCTAACATCAGAATTCATATTCTCCATACTGTCCTCTGGACATTTACTGAGGTGCTGACAAGGAGAATTTGTCAAAATTTTACAGCTGTACAATTTTTTCATAAATTTATCAGTTACATTAATATTCTAGGGTTTGCAAGGAACCATTTATAGCGTAGATTCACTTTTCCTATCATCCTTAGCATGATGGGTTTGATGTAACTTCTAGAGTTTGCTTCGACATAAAACCACGAGTAATCTCTGTTTTATGGCAATTGCAGAATACGTAACATACGCGCACCAAGCGCGCTTTTTGGCGCGAAAATATGATTTGGCCTATTCGCAACTTTCAAAATGGGAGTCTGTTTGAAAGACTTCGCCGCGAAACCTAGAGAGATTTTCAGTTTGCTTTTATCATGTTTATGACCAAAAAGCACCAACAAAGCGTTATTTGATATATTCGTAATTGTATGAAGAAATAGCCATGTCAACACCACACTTTGGTTAACATTTGAGTATATTTTTTGTCATAAAGGACTTGGATGTGGCCTACTGTGACGAGTCTTTACCTAATAAATCAAGTTTAATATCATCGATCAGCTTGATGGTGACTATCCAGACCGACAGCCCCAATTTGAGTTTCATTAGCAAACTGTACTGAAATAACTTCAAAATTTAATAGCCTCAGAAATCGTCGTTTGAGTATTGAATAATATGACAGAAAACAATTAAACAGATCTCAAAATGGCAAAGCGCATGCGTAAATTGCTAGTCACTCCGCACCGGAAATTCAGCCAAACATTTGTCACAGGGAAAAAGTCGACTCTCTATTCTGTTAGATCCTATGTGTACTGCGTTGGCCGATAGGATTTGCGTTTTTCAAGGACAGAACTTATCAACAAGAATAATTTTTCCCCATCACTGTTTCTCTTATTACATGTTAAACTTATTTCTACCATCATGATATGGATATGTTGAGCAGTGACTAGACAGTTCTACCTAATGGCGGGCGCCAGTAGTCTATTAGTGTTTGCCTACTGCAGGTGTTCCTCCTATCAGTCTCGACTGCATGTTAACACACATTTTAAAAGCAAAAAGGGCAGCAAAGGTGACAAGTAATTCCTTTATTCCCTAACAATTATTTCAATTGAGAATACAACTATCTTCCCAGCTTAAATCAACGCCGGAGAGTCAGGTACAGCTTACATTAATTTTATATTTACAAGCCGAGGCTTAGAAGCCTTTTTTTTTTTTTTTTTTCCGGAGAGAGCACTGGATCAAGAAGAAAACGCAAAAAAATAACCCTGGCCGATTCAGGCTGTGTGATAGTGATATACCATTATCGCTAGCAGCCGTCAGCTAAAATTTCAACGCGATTTGAAAAAAGGTGCGTGACAGAAGAGGTACCTATCTGGTAGCAAAACGCTCTCTATACTATTTCCAAACTTGAAATTATCAACATATGTTCATCTTGCAATGTTTCATGACAATAATGCGAAAGCAACTCCCTGGCAATTGTCAATTAATTGTAAGCCAGTTGACAAAGAAGATTCTCATGTGGCTATTTATGCGTTCCTTAAAACAGGATCAAACTAGTAAGCGCCATCTTTGTTTTCATAACACCGTTGCGTGACCAGCTACTTGTGATTCCAAGCCACCAAATGAATAGTCACGCAGTGCTATGGAATGTCATGTGCCCAAGATTTTACCATGATTCCACAAAAAGCTATGTTTCCTTTAAACACGATAAACTCAACATCGTAAACTCGTTTCCTAAGGTAACAATAATGGCACGGCCCGACGCTGTCTATTGAGAAGAGTAGAGCTCCATTACTGGTATTACACGTGGTGAATTGATCGTTCAGGGGATGAAAATGACCTTTGCTTCTCCAAGTCAATCAGAAGGTCGAAATTCTCTACAGTGGTTTCAACATATCCCACAATTCCTCTTATTGAGCCTCTTAGCGGCCCAATAATTTGTGCACCTGGAACAGACAAAGAAAATTGTCAACTATAAAGTGGAACGTCTATTTTTGGACACCACCTTCTTTCGCACTGGGGTCTCATATGAAAAAAGGTGCATCTGTTACATTCATTTACTGGACACTTCTATTCTGGGATTCTTTCTAGTCCTAAGGGCGCTCTCTAAATTAAGGCCGGAACTGGAACTAACACCATGCTTAAGTGGGTTTTTAACCCTTTGTGCCCTCACATCAGAATTCATCATCTCCACACTGTCATCTTAACTTATCTAGTAGAACTGACAAGGAGAATTTGTTTTACAATCAGGAGCTTTTTGCATTCTCTCTCTCTCTTTACATTTGACTCTAGGCTGAGAAATTAGAAGCCAGTCACTCTTAGGGTTAAAGGACTTTTGCTGCAAGGAAGAAGATCTTCACTCACTTTAGAAATGAACTAGGAACCGTTGAGTTTTCGATATTGAAAACAGTGAATTTAAATTTCAGTTTTTACATTACACTTACCAACATTTTCAAACGGTGTTCCGAGGTACTTTTTGACTGTGGGTGTTTGAGCTTCTGAACTCAGTGATTCGCATGAAGTCTGATCGCTGCATATACTAAAATCTGCGCTGAATCGAGTGTCATCGAATGAACAGGCAGACCTAGTTCTTCTAAGAGACGAGCTTGGGTTCGCTGGTCTCTGAACCTCAGGAGTGTGTGAAGCAGTCCTTTTTAGAGTTTCTTTAGGACGCATACATTCCCGTGACCAATTCAGAGCTCCCACTGATCGCTGGTTATTGATACGTTTTACTGGTAGCCGGAAAAATTTCGGTGTCGAATGCTCAGAATTCGCAGTAACCTGGCCACTACGAATGCTGGGATCACGAGAATGCGTGACAGGTTCACCACATTGCCTGACAATAATCGAGCGTGATCGGAGACTAGGTGATCTGGAGGCAGAACGAGATGAAAGACTGTCCATAGACTCGTCAACTTCTATTCCTTCACTTCCGCTCAGTTGATAATCGCATGTTTGAATGGCTACAGTTGGAAGCTGTGTTCGCTCGTCTTCGTAAACCATGTTGCTATGGTAATTTACGTTATTCGCAGAACCTCTCGGCACGATTATTTCTGGGAAACTGCTTACTTTGCGTAATGGCATTTGAAGGATCTAAAATGAAAACGAAGCCATCATTAGGTAACATTTAGGCTCCGTTATATAATTTTCCCTCGCTTCTTTAAGATCCTTGGCTTGTTGTCTCTCAGTCTTCAATTAAATCAGTAACAAGGTTGTAATCAACTTGTTCACACGTACAAGACAAACAGAAGAGGATGTATCAAAGATGATAACATGGAGGCCGTCACCGCGGCAATAAAAGAGGAACGTTGAGAGTGAGGGACAGTTACAAACGTAGACGAACAAAAAGATACGATGTTGGAGACAGGTGAGGAACTAGGAACTATTACGAAAGACAGATTGAGGCGTAGAGAGGTTTCTCTGAATAAAACAATCCAGAAGGTATCAGGAAGTTCATAATTAAAGAAAAAAAGACTCACTTGGGACAATGCTGTGTTACTCCTGGCCCTCATGGCATCAAGCTGAACCCTGCTAGCAGATGACAGCCTCCGACGATCGTAAGAGTCCGTGTAGATTGACTTCGACTTCTTTAAACTTCCCAGATTACACGTGAGAAGCGCCCACCAACACTCGCGCACTTTCTTCTGAATCACGCAATAAAACATGAAGATAGCAAAGCCTTGGAGACTGTTGAAGATCGCAAAGAGATACTGGAACACAAGACGGGCTTCCCTAACAGCAAAGAACCCAAACATCCACGTGATACCAACTAAGATAAGAATTCCAAATGCTCTTTTGATTTTCAAGAGTCCTTCGCTAGTTCGGTCTGGGTCGGCAGCGTTCGGGGGTCTCGTGGCCAGTTTATACATGATCAGTAAGAAAGTTATGGTATTGATGAAAATGACAAACGCTACAGGGGTCATAAAAGCAGCAAAGAATGCCACGTCCCCGATACGACAGCTGAAAAAACAAACAAACGAAACACTTCGTTAAGTGCGTGTTTTAAAGATGGCCGATTTAGACCCACTTTCCCATCGTTATCTGTCTAATATTTACAATTCAATAACCAACACAGTCTCATTAAGTGCGTGCTTTTCAGGTGTCAATTTCAGAGTCCCTAGCTCCCCCTCCCATGCATGTTAACATCAAAATATTTGCATTTCAGTAAAGTATTTAACCCCTAAAATCTTATTCAACGCATGGAAATTTCACGGGAAAAAAAATCATGCTCTTCCTTGAAAATTTTTAACAAGCAATACTTATCTATATATCTTAATAAAGCTTCACAAATTTACCTAAAAGTATTTAAATAAAGACGGTGATATAATATCCAAAACTCTGTACAGCATATCAACCTCAATAAGGGAAAGTTAGGTCTGAGAACGAGACTGGCTCGCATAAAATGAAATGAGCAAGGGGAGGCATGGTGAGGGTCAAATTTCCTTGAACCAGAATAAAGCACGGTAACCTCACACTGATATCAAAACCGAAACTTTTTGTCCAGAATTGAAATTATTCGAGGTTCTAAGTTTCTTAACCCTTTTACTTCAAAGATCCCATTAGTAATTCTCCATATTGTCTGCCATACAATTATCAGTAATTTTAAATATGAGAATTTGGTATTGGATTAACTAATAATTCCCTAATTGACATTTTTCTTTATTCTCATCACTTGTTTGCTTAATATTGTATAGATATTGTAAGGAGAAATTCTGTCTTGGTCACTCATAGGAATTGTATCTCTGCTTCACTTACTAGTTTTCCCCACCATAGCTACTTTTATCCACGCCTAGAGTAACGATAACCACGAGGAAAGGCACACCTGTAAAATGAGGACACAATAACTCTAACTGAAGCGTCCTTTACATCAGAAACGGTTCTGATAAGAGGGTAGGAATAGGGGTTAGCTTGCGTAGAGGCTAGCTTAAAAAACCTCACGGTTCTTCTAGCGTCCAGGTTGAGGTAATGATTAAACTTTGATTTTAAACAATTTGACTGTTAATACAAATAACTTTCTTGTTATTCCACAGTTATGTCTCTTCTTGAGAGCACTAAAAGTTTTCTTGTGTTGTTTGCTGCTAACAATTGAAAAGTACATCAACACTTTTTTCGTGACATTCCAAAACATTTTCGTGCACCACGGCTGAAAATTGCGCATCGCTATCACCAAATTCTTGTCTATGATTCTCTTAGTTGTTTTGAACAACGTTTGCATTCACTTACGTGAGGCAGACCGAAAATGTTAAATCAATCGAGTAGAAAAACACTTGGATGCGGAGAATCAACAAAAGTTGAAAAAGAATACATGAGGATGGAGAAGATTCTCCGATTACCTTTAAAAAACTTAAAAAATCTTGTTTGTACTCTAAAAGAACCACAAACTATGACTCTGTTTCTTCGATAACGCGTACAACTGACTCACCCCAAGCCAACGCCGTACATTTCCATATCACGTTATCCCCAAAGTCTCTGAATACTTTAACAAATGCTTGGTACATGAAATACGCCTCGATCAACATCCACAGAAACGCCACCAACAAGAAGTAATGAATAAGGGCTGCTACGATCCGGCAGGCGTCCTCTGCCATCCCGCCCCTCTCCACCCCCGCGACAAACACGATTAGCACACACAGAAGCGAGACACACAGATGAAGCAGAATTTTAGCAGCGATTTGATCCTTTCGAAGCTTCCTGTGATCGAGGATTGAAAAAAAGAAAATCATGAAAACATTTTCCTAAACACAAGTGTAAAAAATTGTCAAGACCCCAATCTTGTACGATCAAAAGAGAGAAGCTGGCTGAGAACACCTCTCAAAAGCTTTTCCTTACACATCACACAATTATACGCAGTACAAACACAGAGCCACATTATGCAAAAGAATTACCAGCACCGCCAAAAACAAGTGTTACATTGCTTTCAATTGAATGATCACACAAAATAGAATTCCCAGATTTTAAAGTCCCCACCACCTTATACAAAGTAATGAAAAGTACAGTTAGAGGCTTTTAGTGAGATTGTCCCACAGAGAGGTTTCGCTCACGGACCTAAAAATGATAGAACTAAGTTGCCGGGCGTAGCACTGCTCAGAAGCTTTTGTTGAAATTTACGAACACTAAGGTTAAATCCGAAGTTCTCGTTCTAAGCTAGCAACATCGCTAAGAAACCAATAGAAAGGATGATTCAAAGTAGAAAATCATCAAGAAATTCAAGTCTGAGTTATGACAGAAATGATTAACAAGTTCAAAACTCTTACCTGAAAAATGCAAAAGTAAATATGGTCAGCGATAATCCCAAAATAGACAATCCACAGCCGATGTAACTGATCAGCGACAGCACCATAGAATGTTTGCCGCAAGGCTTCGAAGTATGAGCTTCTACATCCTGCAAATAAACAATGACATAGACTCCAGGTTTCAAATGTGAATGATAGTCGCTCCTACTGTGCGCAAACGTTAAGACTGGGAAAGGTCCACCATAGAGCGGTTTCAGAATCTCACGTTTCAACCCTTTAACTTTAAAGGTGACTAGCATCTAATTTCAACTAACTGTATCACTCCTGAATCAAACATTAAGGTTACATGAATAAAGGAAATCATCACCAATATAAGACACTCTTGATTATTAAACATATTCTCCTTGCCAGAACCATAGGAAACGTATAGAGAACAGATTGGAGAATATGCATACTGATGTTAGGGTGTAAAGGGTTAAGGAGCTGGGTTCATGACTTTGTGTTTGCTACAAGGGGGTGTCCCAATCCGTGACTTGGAGTGTGCTTGCAGGGAGTGTCCTTATATGGGAGGCCAAAGGGCAGATGGGATTTGCAATAAAAGACTACTCACCACTAGGACTGCAAAGTTAGTCATGTGATTACAATCGCAAATGACAGTATCATCAACTATCCCTCGAAGTGAACAGCCGGCAGTAGACCATTCACCTATGAAAAAAGACGGGACAAAAAATTATTGTAAATATGGTAAAATTTTACAGGTTTAATTCTCAGTCATGGACACAGTTACAAAAAGAAAAGTAACTGTGACTAAAGAGGATTTAAACTAAAGCATGGAACAATCCAAGGAAGAATTTGAGAACAGTGTAGGAGAACCGGAGAAAGTAGCTTCATATAATTTGATCAAGATCATGTTAAAAAAAAAATGGAATATCACATTTGCAAAGCTCACAGACTAATTCACATGAAAATACAAGGTTCTTCAAAGTTACCAACTCTGATAACCTTGTATCATCATATGAATCATATGTTATGAATTATACGCTATACCTCCAAATGCCACTCAGACGCTGGTGTAGGGATCACCCAACTCCCACCCCACTCCAACAGAAAACATTTAGCTTACCCCTCAAATTCAACACCTGACACAAATAAGGAAATTACGAAAGCGAGAGCTAACGCTCAGCCACAAATTGCTACTTAAAATAACGACATATATGCAGCACTCACCGCTCTCAAAATCCCACCAGACACATCTGGTGCTATTCTCGATAATCTGTTTTAAGAAGAGATGAAAGTAAGTAAGGTATTCAGTAAAATAGATCTCGTTAGTAATTCTCCTTACTGTCTGTCAAACGATTCTCTTTACGTTAGTTTGGAGAATTTGGTATCAGATATATTAGTAATTCTATAATTGAGATTTTTCTTTATTCTCATCACTTGTCTGCATGATATTGTATTCTGTGCTTATTCTCAACAAATTTTTACCTGTTCGTGAGGCAGTTTAAACTTAATAACGACGGGCTTGGTCAGGTTGAACACGTGCTTTTTCCTCAAACTCGCAGCCAACACCGGGCTGCTCTCTGTGATAACATCTCCACTGACGTTTTCCATCGTATAACGTGACCGCGCTGCAGTTTCCCGCTGGAATTTGGACACCTTCTCGGCAGTGAAACCATCCTCACACTCCTCCGTCTTGCGATATCCAGGGGAATATCTGGGAGCAAATAATTTGCTTGTGCGATAGTACACCACAATCAGAGTCGCATTTTCTTTTGTCTTCAGAGCGGAATTGGGTACAGTCACACTAGCTTCGATTTCCGCGTTCTCTCCGCGAGAAGAGTTTGCGCTTGCGTTAAACGCAATACTGTTCTGGGTAGTTTGGACTGACAAGCTGACCCCATTACTGGCTCCTTTAATGAGTTGCTCGTGAACAGCAAGATTGCGTGTACTTCTGCTAAATTGGCCACCTTTGTCGATGTACTCGTCAAGAAGCTTTACAAATCTGGAAGCGAAAACAAATTACAGGGATTAAATTTTTAGAGCAAGAGGAAATATTTCAAATACAGAGAGCAACGTGAAGCTCTGCCTCACAACCACTTTAGGATGTCCAAATGGAAATGAAGCCCCCGTCAATTCGAATGTTCCATCAAAATAACTTTGAACCCTTACTTAGCAGATGTGTTGAACTTATATCGGGTTTTCTGCAACACGTCTGTTTCCACATCCATCACGTGACTTATGGTATCCAACACGTGATCACCGACTTCAGATGACGTCATGTTCGTCTTAACAACATTTTGGAGAATGTTTGCTGTGATTGAAATGTCCTTTTCTTGCAAGTCGGAAGACTTGGTTGTAATATTTTTGACTTCCTTCATAACTTTAACTGCGTTGGCGTCAGTGACTGGAACCTGAAAGATAGATAGATGAATAGCTTATAACAATAATTACGCCATATTTGTGCTGTTTCGTGCACTGGAAAAAATTAAACTCCGTCAACCACCGAGTAGGGGTTCTTCCCGAAGAAAGATTATGAATTGCATAAAAAGCCTAAGAAGAAAAAGTCAAAATAGGTTTTCTTTGAGCTAAACAGAACCACTCACTTTGTTCAGTTTCTCCAATGCGCGTGTTATTTGGGAACCTTCGCTGCTTTTCTCTGTAAAAAATTAAAACAAGCAAATGATCATTTGGGACAAGAACCAAACCACAAAGCAACTAATCAAACACCAAATTCTCAAGGCTAAGATCATGACAAATGCTTGGTAGAGTTGAGAGAGTTGATATTCAGATCTAGATAGTGAAGTTGACAACTTTCCTCTCTATTTCATACCTATTGAGTAGGTAATATTTTTGCTATAAGGTCCAGGCCCAACTCTTGTAAAGGCACGCACGCCAATGTAGTACTTCTGATTAATTACCAGGCCCCTTATGTCCTTTGAAAGCTTCTCTTTGCTTATGAAAGTGTACACCTCCCCGTTGGGTTTGTATAAGATAACTTCATATTTGGTGATTTTTCCATTACTGTTCTCAGCACTGGGGATGAACCATGACACTCTTATGTCGTTTTTGCCACGTGGTATGATGACAACATCACGAGGTGGACCGCTAGGAGCTGGAGACGAGAGGAACGGGAAATAAGCAAACGTGTTAAGAGAGAGTTTAAAAACACCACTTCTAGAATATTACTTTAGTAAAAGTAGTTAAGAAATAAAATTGAGGAATGACAAATTAAACAGGAACAGGGATGACGAAGGATGAAAGTAGCATTCCATAAAAAAGGTAAACCACCGCTGTCAAATTGTTTGGGAAACACGTATAAGGAATTTCGCTGAATCAAGGTGAACACGCCTTCTCGAAGGAACCAAATGTCTATGGCTAGATAGATTCTGTTAGAAACTTAGTTTCGACACGTTCAATGTGTTCTGTATTGATTACACTCATAACATTACACTCATAACATAAATTTTGGGCTAATGATTAAATCATTAGCCCAAAATTTCTAATCTTACGAGTGAAAAGAGGAACCAAAAAACGGTTTGAATCCGGGGGTAACATTCGATTGTATTGTCTAATCGTCCGGGTAAGGGTAGTCCTAAGAAGGACAATTGTTTGAAAAGTGACTTACGTTTCGACAACCTTGGTGGAGGCCATCATTAGAGTCGAGGAGAATCGACAGTGAAACAATACTCCTTCAGAAAGCTACCCACGTCCGGACGACCAGACGACATGATCACAATACAAGTAAACAAACAAACAGGCAAAAAAAAAAAGAGAAAGTAATCCTCACCTGCTTCCTTTGTCTCAAAAGACTGTGGCATACTGAATGGTCCTTCGTCATCGTCGTTGTAGTAAGACGCCACTTCTACTATGTACGCGGTATAAGGATGCAGTCCGTCTAAGGTGACCATAGTATCGTCACCTCTTGTGGTCTTGTTTAGCTCCACTTGTACCCAGTCCCAGTAAACTGAGCGCTTTCTGTAGCGAACAATGTACTTAGCAGTGTCTGTCGGTGTGGGATCTTTAACTCGGAAACGGAGAGTCCTAGACTGGACGTCCATGATAACCACTTCTGGACGAGGAGCTGGGAAAAAATGAAATAAACGGTGTTCAGGGTCCGTAAACACACCTTCACCAACGCAAAGGCTTGCGAACGTAGGGGAGTTAAGTCAAAATAATCAGGCGAAACCAGAAAATAATGTTTTCCTAAGGAAGAAAAACACCAAAGCGGAAGTAATTAACCCAAAGGGAATGATAAACTAAACGTTTGGGATGGAAAAGATTAAAGCAGATTCCTCATGACACACTTACAAGAATAGGCTACATTTTACAGGAGGAAAAACGCAAAATCGGAAACACATACCATGGACAAGAAGATGAATGTTCCGCGTTGCATTGATTGGTAATCCTGGGTACCAGGCCGTGCAAGACAATACTGAACCTCGGTCTTTGTACTTAACACGTGATAACATCAACACGCTCTTCACACTTCCATTCCTTAAGACTGCAGCAGGGGGTGGGGAGGGGATCACAAGTCCGTTTCGATACCATTCCATGTCAGCACCAGGCTGACCGGAAACCAGGCACGTCAGATTGACAGAACTGGTGCGATTCAGTTCCACAGTCTCACTTGGCGGATCAACTACCGGTACGCTCCCTGGATGAAAAAAAAACGTGACCAGTATAAGATTTATCGCACAAGGCGTGGCAGATGGAAAGCGGATTTGTAACCTGAATTAATAATTGTATTTTTAGGTTAAAACCACAGAGGTGTCAGCAATTAGACTCGTATCATAACCGTTTCATCAACGGTTGTTGGGAAATTGATTGCTATCAATGACTACCTGAGGAGATGGACACGAAACTTCTCATAGCAGTTGCAATAATTGTCACCCAATTATGGGACGAGACTACATAACAATCAGCCAAATTGTGTGAAAAAATTACATTGCATAAATAAATGAAAATGTACACCAACTAGATGGGAGTTAAAAGGGAGTTAAAGAGTATACCAGTATTGATACCCGCGATCTAATTGATAATTCTCTCTCTAACAGTAATACATTTCCTTGTAAATCACTTAGGAGAATTTGGTGTCAGATCAAGATAACAACATCTACGTGATAAGTTTGAGTATTCTCATTACCTGTTTGCTGTATAATGTATGGATATTATGGGGAGAAGTTACATATCAATCACTTCTGGGAGTTAAAAGGTTAACGTCAAAGCTCACAGGAGTGAAATTAAAAGCAGACATGATGATAATTTTAGTGACCAAAATATGTTATTAATCTCCCTTGGCGCGCTCACAAATCTTTATGTGGCTATTCTACGAGCTGAAACAGGAAACTCATCCCATGCACACAAAGAGGAAAAAGGTAAGAAATCAGAAGACAGGAAAAGGGTCAAAGATCTAATTACGTTTTAGTCATGAACAACATCCCTCCTATTTTTAGCCTAAAAATCACAATGTTAAGACTGACACACTCAAAAGCTTTTTGTAAGATTCACTATCCAACGTTTTCGCTATCTGGATTTAAAACCGCACTTCGCATCCTACCATAATTACGACTAAAAAAAAACCAGAAATAAAATCTTTCAGTAGTTGTTTTCTTTAGTTAGTAGAAGATATTTTCCACCGTCTAAGCTCATTATAATGAGTCGAGTTGGATAATAAAACTCTTTATTATAAATTGCGTTCACTAGTACAAGTTTTTAATCAGTGCTTCCAATGTCACACAACTAATTCAAGAATGATGAAGGGCTCTTAGCATATAGCAATTAAAAACTCGTTGTGTTTAGTTCGAGAAAAGGGCACTATATTTAGTAAGCATCAAGCGGAGAAACTAAACTGTAATTTGCGTCTTGGCCTCCTCTTCAGCTGCAATCGTTAAAGATTAACTTCATTTTCTTGTACAGCGATTTTCAATGAGTGTCGTAAGTAATCTGAGACTGCATTGGTCAAAATTTACTTTGTCATCTGATTGGTTCCGAAAGCTCCCCGCTATCCTCTCAACCAATCAGATTCAAAGTCAAACCAATTGCGACTTGGTCACACGCGTTTTCCCGCGCTTTACGTTGTTTGCCTCTTTTTTTACTTTCTTCCTCTTTCTTCTCTTCCTTATGATATTTCCCTTATTCTGAAGCCTACAAAAATTACTTCCACTCGTTGTAACGACACTCAATCGAAATGCGCTCTAACTGAACATGAAAGCACATCAATCGAACCACGCCTCAGTTCTTAGCACCAAGCCGAGTTTAAAAATGACACTAGCTTGAACAAATCTACCACTCGATGACGTAAAGGATTTGATCTGAATTCAACAAAGCAAAATAACTTAGGCATTTTCATGGTATATCATTTTTCAGTCAGACAATTTGTAATCAGCTAAGCGAAAAAACTAAATCAAAGACTTACAAACTGAAAATCTATCACAGTCGTGTACATAAAAACTAAATTTAAGAACACCCTCGCATGATTCTGCTATCAGTTAATGCGTTGACCCCATTAATACGCGTCCACGAATCTATCTGTACCTTTAGTTGGAAGACACTCGTAAATCTCCACCCGCAAACAGATAAAGCCCCCTGCGTTCCAAGCTAAAGGATTGAAGCGGATGTAACGAGCAAATATTCTGTGAGAAAGGCGCCTCTTTATCACAGTGCCGCTGTCAAAGTTGCCTTGGAAAACCTGATGAAAGGAGAAATAAAAGCTTGGCAAACCTATTTATTTTTAAAAGACAAATAAAGTAGAACTGCTCTTCCGGATCCCGAGAGAAAAACAAATATTGTGATGACCTTTCAATGAATACATGATAGCCATTTAACTCCCAAATTCTGACTGTTAATTATCCTCGCTAGCTGCTACACAGTTCCACGTAAATTAGTAACCCGGAATTAGGTATCAGATCAAGTTGACAACTTCCACCTGATAAGTATGTTTATTCTCAATAACTGTTTGGTGAACGTATGGATATTTTAGAGAAGTTACATGTTAATCACATTTAGGAGCTCAAGGGTTAACAAACTTTATGAAAACCTGAGACGCACTGGTAGCCCCTGATGGGTAATCATTCCATTCAGGCACAGCAGTTTGGACTCACAATGCAGTTCTGCCCCATAGTTTAATCCCTTTTTTTTGTATTTGCTCATACCTTGCTTCTAGTTTCTCCCCTCTCTCTGAAGGAACGCCACGTAAGCCCATCCGTACTGTAATTCAAGTGATACTTCGATACAAACATTTCCCCCACGTAGCCCTGAGTTGCTACGCCAGACACAGACCGCACCCGACCCAGATCGACCTGAGTTACGTAGAGCACAAATACTAGTAAGTATAGTTATCATGAAGGCACACAAGTTCAGTGGTATCACCCTCTTCTAAAAAGAGCTTGATAAAGATCTGTTGATGCTTGAGATTAAGGTGTAAATTCGAAAGAAAAGTAGAAAAAAGCATCCGCCAGTCCAGGATGCAAGAGCTTACTAAACCTTCCATTTTTTAAAAATTTCACGATCCTTCGCTAATGTTGAGAGAACTTTTTTCGAATTTGGGGTTTAGGTTCTTGGGAAAAAAGAATTCGGGTTTACACTGAAAACCTCGCTACAAAGGTCGTGAGATGGCTGGTCATTGCTTAACGGGGATTCGGAACATCGAGACCTTCTCCATTATACAGAGGTTTGTTGTATATCAAGCTGCAAAGTAGCCACGCACTAACCTGTAAATACTGGTTCTTATCCTCTTGATCGGTGCACCACCCGCCCCAGTT